GTTGAAGAATGCTCTTAAGGAGACACAGCTATAAAAGCATGCTGGAAGGACTGGAATTGTGGTCAACTCAAGGACTGGAGATGCAAAGATACATGTAATGAAAAAGCCCAAATATGAACATAGGAGTATTTGCCTGCTGTAGGGCAGAGATATCAGGGTGAGGGCTGGAGCCAAGGGCGGAGCAATGGCTCATCCATGTGGACGCTGAGTCCGCTCAGGATGATGGCAGGACTTGGGGGCACAGGAAGACTTTAATGAAGGTGTCAATGCAGTATATAAAAGAGCAAGAAATGGAGCTATGGAAGTATGTATCACATGTACAATGGCAGAAACTAGAAGGATAGGAAACAATGTCACTGACCAAACTAGAAACCAAAAGTGTCCAGATGAGTACTATATATATATATATTATATTATATTATATATATATTAAGAACACAAAGGTTAATAGGTGTTCGGGAGCCAGCAGATGGTGTGGCGCTTTTATCAGTGGACTCCCACATAACCAGCCATGGTGTGAGTCCTGGACTTGGAGGCTTGAAACTCACTCCGGGAGAATATGCATGTGCATACGCATGCATGCATGTCCAAGGTCCAGGGAGGAGAATGGAAGAAAAGGGACTGTAGCATGACCATCCCCCTGGGAGGGTGATTTCTCACTTCCCCTCTCATTGTCTTTGTCTCTCTCTCTCTCTTCAGCAAGCACACGCACCCTAGGGAATAGGGTTAATAGGTTCAAATATAGGATTCTGCTCTTGGACTCAAGAGGACAACTACATAAGGGAAGGCTGTGATGTCACGGCTGATCAGAGCATACTCGCACCAGCTCAGATGACAGTCTGTGTAGCCACCGAAAGCTCAGTACTTCACCGGAAGTCTATCGGGCACAATGACGTAGGATGGTACCGTCAACTAAGAGCACTGCCTTCGAGTTTGTGTGAATTCGACAAGGTGAAGACTGGAAGCGCCTGCCCTGAGAAACGGCTGAAGGAATTGCAGGTGTTTATGATGACGAAGAGAAGACCCTGCAGGGCATGAGAGATACCCCTAAATGTCAGGAGGAAATAAGACTCGCTTGTAGGGTCACAAGCACAAAATTGCTATCGGTGGGTGAAAGCTATGAATGGGAAAGGTAGGTTTCAGCTCAAAATAAGGAAGGTGTTCCAACAGTCAAAGCTGCCCAGGGAGGATAAGCAAGTTCCTCCTCACTGAGGTTATGAAAATATAAACTGGGCAACCTGGCAAAGATGTTGTGGAGGAACCCTGATGTCAGATAAATAACTACATCAAATAGCCCCTTAGATCTCTAAGATTTTATCAAATTTGGTGGGGGCCCACAGGTGGTGCAGTGAAGGCACTGGACTCCCACCTGGCCAATTGTGGTTCGAGTCCTGGATCTGGCAACCTGGGGGTCATGTCAGTCTCATATGTGTGTGTGCCCAAAATCCTGGGCAGAGAATGGAGAACTGTGGCATGGCCATACCCCCTGGAGGGGTGATTTCTCACTTTTCCTCTCTCTCTCTCTCTCTGGTGGGAATGCATGCCCTATCGAGGGGGAAAAAAAAAACTTAAAAAAAAAAAAAAGATTTTGGGGCCGGCAGATAGTGTGGTGGTTAAGGGCACTGGACTCCCTCATGACTGACCATGGTTCGAGCCCTGGACCTGGTGGCTTACTTTCTCACTTTCCCTCTCTCTCTCGCTCTCATTCTCTCGCTCTCTCTGTCCCTCTCTGGTCAAATTTTAAAAATAATAAATAAACAAATAAAGTTAAATAAAATAATTTTTAAAAAGATTCTATCAAATTTGGAAAGTTATTTGTCATTATTTCTTCAAAAGTTTTTTCTATCTTTCCTCAGCTTGGGAATTCCAATGACATGCTTTTTATGCCACTCACAGCTCACTGATGCTCTATTCATATTTTTTCCAGTCTTTTTTCTCTCTGCATTTCATTTAGGATATTCACTACTGCCCTATCTTCAAATCCATCAATCTTTTCTTCTATAGGGTCTGATTTACTGTTAATGTCATTCAATATATTTTCCTCTCAGACATTTGTTTCATCCCTAGAAGTTCAGTTTGGTTTGTTTTGTATCTCTGATGACACTTTAACATGCTTGTATTTTCCTGAAATTATAAAACATAGTTATAAAAATGGCCTTAATATCCATGTGTACTATTTCTATGCTTCATTCTTGGGTCAGTTTCAACTGACTGTTTCTCTTCATTATGGATTTGTTTCTTGCTTTGCTGTAGGCCTGGTAATTTTTTTTTTCTTCCAAATGTTCAGGTTTATTGAGCGCATGAGGGGCTATGAAGGAGTCCTGGGTGTCTGGGGATGGGGGTTTATTGAGCGCATGAGGGGCTATGAAGGAGTCCTGGGTGTCTGGGGATGGGGGTTTATTGAGCGCATGAGGGGCTATGAAGGAGCCCTGGGTGTCTGGGGATGGGGTTTCCATGAGCTGAGGAAGCCCAGCGTACAACCTGGCATCTGCCTGAGGAGCCCAGTGCATGGCTGAGGTTGGGGTTTTCATGAGCTGAGTTTACCTCAAAGTGTGAATCTCAGCTCCTCCTTGCCCAAAGTCTTTGGGTCTAATATGACCAAGTAGCAGGGTGGTTGAATTAGGTCTTGCCTTTGTGATTGTGTGGCCCTTGGAGGCCACCGTCTTTCACATTTCTCACATATCAGGCAGGGCTGATGCCAGCCCTGCTCAGAGAGGTCACCTGCTCAGCAAAGTATACCTCCTTGCCATACTCAGGGCTCTGGGCCATGACGGCACCAGGCCTAGTTCAGAAAGTTGAGGCTGGGGCAGGAATAGGCTGCCAATTATACACCTGTATTATTTTAAATACTCTTGAGCATTGATAATGCTAAATTCTTTGATGCACTAAAGTTTTGTGATGCAGTTTCTTAGAAATAATTCCACCTTTTTAAGGTTTGTTTTTAAGCTTCATGAGGCAGGAATGGTACACCTTTCATTTCTAAGGCTAACTCCTCTACTGTGGCAAGACCCCTGGCGAACTCCACCTGCTGTTCCATGTATTACAAGATTGGAGCATTCGGCCCAGTGGGAACACACTCTTCCAGGCCTTTACGAGCACAGGGATTGTTCTGCCTATTCTTTGTGGGTGTTTTCTCTTTGGCCTCCAGCAGGATTCACATGTGTGCAGGGCTCAGTAGGCAGATAAAGAGCCTTAGCAGCTCCCCCTGCAGAGTTCTCTCCTCCCAATGTGCTGCCTTGTGAACCCCAGCACATGGCTTTCAATCCGGGGGGCCACAAGGGCCTTGTCATGGCTCGTGGTTCCTGCTGTGTCCTGGAAACTGTCCCAGTAAGCTGGGACAGTCATGGTGTCCTCCTCATTGTTCCTTCTCTCAGGAATTGCCATCCTGTGGCTGCCTGCTGTCTGACATCTACAGGCTGTTTAAAAATACACTTTTTTTTTTTTTGGTCTTTAGTGGTTTAAGGCAGGAAGGTAATTCTAATAGATTTACTAGATTTTCTGTCTGATCACTTCTTTTGTCCTGAGAGTTTATAAAAATCTGATTAGCTATCAGTCTAAAACCACTACTGTCAGAGAGAACACTTGAAAGTAACAACTAGATTTCTTCATCTCTTCCTAAGAGTGATCTGGGCAACTGGTACAAATTACTGAAGCTTTTTCATGGAGAGGATTTTTTAAATTTAAAATACAGTTTATGGGGCCAGCAGATGGAGGCGAGGATTAAAGCGCTGGGCTCCCACACAGCCAGCTGTGGTTCAAGTCCTGGACTTGGTGGCTTGGCAATCACACCAGAATGTATGCACGAGTGGCCAAAGTTCTAGGAGAATGGAGGAGGAAGAACTGTGGCATGGCCATACCCCCTTGGAGGTGATTTCTCACTTTCTCTCCCTCTGTCTCTTTCTGCTAAGCACATGAATCCTATGGCAAAAACCTAAAAATATAAATATAAAAAAGGAAAGGTAGTTTATTGTATCTAAATAATTATGCAAATATGTAATTAAAGAAAATGCAATAAGGGACCAGCAGTTAGCGTAATGGCTATGTCGCTGGACTCCTATGTAGTCGACCATGGTTTGCATCCTGGACCTAGTGGCTTAAAACTCACGCCCGGCGCGTGTGCGTGCGTGCCCAAGATCCCGAGAGAACAGAGCAGAAGGGATTGTGGCGTGGCCATCCCCCCTGGGGGGTGATTTCTTGCTTTCTGTCTCTCTGTCTCTCTCTCTCTGTCTGGAGAGCGCACGTGCCCTATGCCAAAAACCTCTAAAAAAATGCAATAAATTTAGCCTAAAATTGGGGTCAGTAATTCATGCAAATAAAAGGTATGGATGCAGCCAGCATACCCTGGACTGAAAGTTGAAAGGCGTCTTTCTGGGAATGAGGCTTTCCCATGCACTTTTTCTTCTTTCTTTTTTCTTTCTTCTTTCTTTTTTTTTTTTTTTTTTTGGGAAGTTTTTACTTTGGGGGGCATACCCCTTTTTTGGGAAGTTTTTACTATAGGGTGCATACGCCCACCAGAAAGAAAGAGACAGAGAGACAGAAAGCGAGAAATCACTCCCCAGGGAGGATGGCCACACCACAGTCCCTTCTCCTCCATTCTCCTCTCGGGATCTTGGGCACACACGTACATGCACCCAGTGTGAGTTTAAGGTACTGGATCTAGGACTCAAACCGTGGTTGACTACATGGGAGTCCAGCAACATAGCCATTATGCCAACTGCTGGTCCCCCATCCCATACCCTTTTTCTGTGTGTACCTGAACCAAATGAGCACCAGGCCCAGGAGAAACCCCACTGTCTGATGAATACACAACCTGGGCATTGGAGGAGTGAGGACCATCCATGTTCGTGAGCTTTCTTGATTCAAACTCATTCACATTTAACATGGTGTTTCCCACGCCAGGCTACAGGATAGGTTTTCCTGTGCAGCGAAGTGCTCCTCATCTCTCAGTCAGAAAAACAAAGCAAGCATAGTTAAAGACATGTTCCTCGATGGGCACCTACTTGTCACTGGTGAATATGTAGGCAACCACATCCTTTAAAGCTGCGAGTAAAACTCCTATGACAAGTGAACAGGCACCTGGAAAATACAGAAGCAATGACAAAATATGACAATTCTCCACGGCGGTCAACTCTAGGATGGACGTGTCGTGAACTGCTGTGTCAATGATTCAGGAGGTAACCACGTACAAGGTATTCCTACTAGCTTTGAGGAGGGAAACAAGGTCAGATGACTCTGTCTCCTCTTCCTGTGGGAGATGCACAGGTGTTCGACGAGACAGAATACAGTCAGAGTCCTTTCTCCTTGCTAGATCTCAGCATACTACAACTACCAGAGGAGGCGGTGGTCCAGGAACATGGAGAATCCTGACCATGGCCATAAAATAAGACTGCGAGGCTGGCCCTGTAGCCTTGTGGTAAAGGGAGCCAAACCCCTTTACCCTTACCATGGCAGACCACAGTTTGAATCCCAGCTCTGATGACTTGAAATACATGCTGGGTGCATGTGTGTGCATGCCCCAAATCTCAATGGGAAGAAGAAAGGATTGTGGCATGACCACGTCCCACTGGGGGGGGTGCTTTCTCCTTTCGGTGGTGAGTGTATGTGCCCATTGGCAATTTTTTTTAGAGTTTTTTTTTTTTTTTTTTGCTTTAGAGTGCGTGCACTCACCAGAAAGAGAGAGACAGAGAGACAGAAAGCAAGAAATCACGGTGGGATGGCCCTGCTACAATCCCTTCTCCTCCATTCTCTTTTCAGGATGTTGGGCATGCACGCACACACATGCGCCCAGTGTGACTTTGAGCCACCGGGTCCGAGACTCGAACCACAGTCGGCTACATGGGAGTCCAGCAACATAGCCATTATGCCAACTGCGGGTCCCCTCATTGGCAATTAAAAAAAAAAAAAAGGCTATGTGTGATAATTGTCTTTGAAATTATTTTAATAGTGCCAAGCATAACTTTATTTAGTAAGTATACAATAATAGAAAATCATAGTTAGAAACTTAAACTGAGTAAACTTGAAAGAACATAAAAAATAAAGGCTCGAGTTGAGTGTATATATGTGATACGTGGATTTTAACCGAGTACACCAGATTCATTGTGGACACGGGGTGGGGAGCCCGCTTTACTCACTGGAACACAAGAGGACAGCGACACAGGAGCTCCGAGCCTGCTCCACACTTCCTGCCCCGAGAGCATTGCCCACTCGGACATTGGCTGCCACGCCGAAGCCAAGGGGCACCTGAGAATGAACAACCACAGGCCACAATGAGCCCTGAACATCAGAGTACCAGTGCCCCAGGGTCTAGCTACTAGGTTGTCGGAAAGTCGGGATGTATTTTTCTATGTTTTTCTAATGTAAAAATGTGTCACGACTTTCCAGACAACCCAGTATATGGAAACTCCAGACAGACACAGAGATCTGGGCTCTAGAAGGGGGTCTTCCACATCCTGGCTGTGTAGCTGTAAGTTTCTCAGCCTCAGAGACTGATGTCTCCACTGGTACAGAAGTACTGGGATAGGCCAGGTGGCAGCGCCGTGGTACAACTAGACTGGCCTAGGCTGCACGACATGGGAGGTCCTAGGTTTGCATCCCAGGACCTCGGTGTGCACGCCGGGTGTGCATGTCCCTGTGACCCAGGCCAGCTGGCACTCGGGGTGGGTCACAGCATGAGGACCTCGCTGGGCATGCCTCTCTCTCCGGCTCTGTGTCTACAGATAGATACAAGGTGAGAACGGGCAGAAAGACAGGAGACCTGAACAGGATAGAACGAGTAGACAGCTGCGATTTATCGAACACCTATAAACAAGCTATAGTTCATCACTCAGCAGCAGAAACAAAGCCAAAATGCTCCCTGACTTGCAGACCTCCCACCATCGACGGCTACCTCTCTCCGAGCGGTCCACCTCAGAGGTCGCTACGCCTTCACCTACCTACAAAGTCAAGGTTTTGAATCTGGCTGTCAGTGCTCATCACTCCATGGGGTGTCTCAGGCCCTCAGATCCAAGGAGCACTTCTTTACACTCCTCTACAGCCAGACCCCCCGGCCTGCCACCCCCTCTAAAGCATTCTCTGCTCTACGACATATTCTCTTGATTTTCTTCCTTCCACCTGGTCTACCCTTTCCTTTGGCTGAATTTCCTCACAGCCCTGGCCTCCACACATCGGGTAACCACATCATCCCCAACTCCATTGACCCCCACCTCCATTTTTAAGAAGGCCCATAATTTAACTGCCCAGATAACCTCCATTGATCTTTAAAAAATAAAAACGATAAAACAAAAAGAATACCCGTAGGGCTGGAATACTCAAAAAGCACCACAAGGAGAGGGGTCAGCAGGTGGCATGGCAGCTAAGGCGCTGGACCCCCATAAGTCAACCGTGGTGCGAGTCCTGGACCTGGTGACTTAACACTCATGCCAGGCGCGTAGGTGTGTACCCCAAATCCCAAGAGAAGAATGGAGGAAAAGGGATTGCAGTAATTTCTCATTTTCTGTCTCTCTGTCTCTCTGGTGAGTGCACATGCCCTATAGCAAAAGTCTCTCTCAATAAAATTTCATTTTAATAAGAAAGCTAAGAGGGACCAGTAATTAGCGTAATGGCTATGTCGCTGGACTCCCACGTAGTTGACCACGGTTCGCGTCCCAGACCCGGTGGCTTAAAACTCACGCTGGGTGCGTGTGCGTGCGTGCCCAAGATCCTGAGAGGAGAATAGAGGAGAAGGGATTGCGGCATGACCATCCCCCCTGAGGGGTGATTTCTCGCTTTCTGTCTCTCTGTCTCTCTCTGTCTGTCTGGCGAGCGCATGTGCCCTATAGCAAAAACCTCTCAAAAAAAAAAAGAAAGAAAGGAAAGAAGCACCAAAGGGTAGAACACATTACTCCCATCCAGTTATTCAAGTCCAAGTCAGAAAATTCTGGAGTAGCGCAGCTGCGCGCCGGGAACGGCCTGGCCGGCACCCCCCCACTCCGGAGGGCACGCCACGCGGCCGGGGGGGCTCATGCCCCCCCCCGCACAGCCGCAGGCCGGG